AGTTAAATGCCAACTGCCTTTACAGATATAGTAATTTTATACTAATACACAAAGATCAGCCATTTCATAGAGAACGAGAAACTACTGTATAAACTGAAATGTATAATTGCTGGTTAAACAACAATACATGTTTAAGGGTCTCTTAATAAGTTTTCAATATTCCCTTGGCAGAGAATGAAAATAATTGTGGTACCCGTCTATTATTAATCCTTAAACATTCTGTTACTCTTTAAGATTTATCATTTGTAAGCCACAAACATTTTCAAACCCAAATACAAATACAGATCAAAAGGCTATTTATCCCATCCCACCACGGATCAAACTACAACATGAATTTGCATTTATGTAGCACCTTTAACTTGGTTAAAAGCGTCCCAAAGTGCTTTACATCATAGAATTCATCTCATATGACTATTGTAGTGTATTAGTGCATGTATTTCCCTTAGGTACTTGAAGGAGGAAATCAGGCAGGGATATGGTGAAAGGGCTGGGGGAATGGGCCTAATTGCATAGTGCTTTCAAAGAATGTAAAGGGCTGAATAGCCTTCACTCTATGCTGCACCATTCTACATTTGTGTACGGGTGTATTTGTGCTTCCTGCACTAGTTTGAAGGCTCTGGATTTGACTATTGATGCAGTATTTCCAAAGTAAGGCATTTCTATTGAATTCATATTTCCATTACTAGAGCTTTCCTTTATCTAACATCAGTTAGAAGCAAATTTATAATGTTTTTGCAAAGTTGATAAAGCTTTAAATTGCACCTTTCTCCAACACTAATGAAACTGAAGGTCGCAGATGTTAGGAAATGACAGAAATAAAGCCCCAATTCTTTACAAACATCATTTGAATATCTTTGTGAGGTGATTGTGTGGTAGCCTCTCCAGGTGTCCAGAAATATTCTATCTAGCGTGGGCTTGTTGGGGCAGGCACCAAAGCAGACCGATAATATTCATACGGAATGTGACAAAATTGTTAAGTATCCAGTGAGATTTCACCAAATACTTTTCTGAAATCATCGACATCACAGGGGGAGGCAAAGCCCAGTTGGTCATAGTTCAGAGAAGTAGGCCATCTGGCCTCCTGTATGCATGCAAGCTCTTTAAAGGAATCACACAATTAGCTCCACCACCCCGCTCTTTTCCTATAGACCTGTAAACTTCTTTTCAAGTATATATCCAAGTTATTAAATCTGCTTCCATCAGATCAGATTGCAAGCAGGGCATTCCAATCACAACAGCTGGCTGCTTGCCTCACACCAATATGGCTAGAGCATCATAGCTGGACACTTGCTCATTTCTGAACCTCCCCCACTTCACCAACTCCTCAACCATTTAACTTTTGGTAGAGGTTAAAAACAAACAGGATAAGTAAGGGAACTAAGACTCAGAAAAATTCCTCTCCAACTCCTTCTCATGAAATTAAAACTAGTCCCAAAGCATCCAGTGTTATCCCTAATTATCTAACTCTGAAACGATCTCTGCCCCAGGAAAGAAACTGATCAGGTCCTTCTTGAAGGTAGAAGCTCAACAGCAGCCACATCAGTCCATAACACATTTCAGAGGCCTTATCCTCTGTATGCGAAATCTATCACAATGTCCTCCAGTAAATACTGAGCAGTTAGATATCTCCTCTAATGGTACAATGACAAAGTTGCCAATTTAAAATAAGCAGGACATTAAATATGCTCCAAATATAGCACAAAAACCCATCATTATTTAAAAACACTGAGGTACACATTTATAATTATGTAATTATATATCACGGTCCACAGAATATGGGATTGTACCAAACTTAAGATATAATTTATATTCCTTCCCAATGTCACTTGCAATTCTGTTACCTCAATTCTGCTTTCTTTATTTTTATATAAATCTGAGCAAGTTACTGGAGCAATTGCCTCTTTGCTTATTTTGATTTGCCAGATTTGTAATTGTTTTGAATTCAGAGCACAAACTAACACAATTACTGGCTACATACTTCCGAATATTGTGACTAATAAATCAGGGGGTTGTACAATAAACATTTCATTATTTTCAAAACGTTAACATGCACGTTTAATCCAAATTTAAAATACAATAGACAGGCATGAATCAGTTCACATAGAAACACTGCAAACAATAACTTTCCACTGACAAATAATGCCACGATATCGCCAGTTAATTGTATGCAGGTTACCAAATTCAAAATATTCTCTAGAAAAGAAAAGTTCTTTCCAATGCTAGGAGGATTGGGAACTAGGGGCCACAGACTTTAAATGGCAAAAAAAAACCAGAGGATGTGATGATGAGAATTCATTTCATGAAGCAAGTTGTGAATTGGGATGAATTGCCTGAAAGGGCAGTGTAAGCGGATTCAAGAGTAAGTCAAAGGAGAATTGGATAAATAGCTGAAAATAAAATTGCCAGGTTTTAAGGAAAAAGCAGAGGGTGTGCGGCTCACTAAACAGTTCAACCAAAGAACTAGCACAGGAATAATGGGTTAACTGTCTTTCTTTTGTGCTGAACTATTCACAAAGCAATTTGATTATTAATTATAAACAAGAACAGATGAAATCAGAGGAACAAGCCATAAGCCCCTCTAGCTGGTTCTATCATTCCATGAGATCATGTCCAATTTTTTACCTTAAATCCACTTTCCCACTCTATTCCCATATCCTTTAGTGTGTAAACAAAACCGCTCAGTCTACCTTGAATATACCGAATGATTGACATCCATAACTCTCTGGAGTTGAGAAATCCAAAGCCTATGAGAGAAGAAACCTCTCTGTCTTAAATAGCTGATCCCTTATTCCTAGCCTCTGAGCATCAACTCTGTCGAGCCCTCTCAGTGTTCTCGATATTTTCCTAATCAACTTGTTGAGAGATGTTATTACACTGCTGAAGCAGGTGGGACTTGAACCCAGGCCTCCAAGGTATGGACACTACCACAGCGCCACAACAGCACATCCTCTCAGTACTTTATAAATTCCAATTAAGTCACCTCTCATTCTTCCAAACTCCAGAATTATGTACCTTTCCACTCAATCTCTCCCCATTGGATAACCTGGAATAGCAGTAAAAAGTTTACAGAGCACTTGAAGTAGAATACTAGATGTTACTAGAATATTAAACATAGGAGCTAAATCACAGAAGAATTTTGTTTGTGATGTTTGGAACCCACCATTACCGATCTAAATCAATTCTATGGGTTTAACATCTGAAGTAGCAACTTAAAATGTCAGTTCTAATAAGTTCTGAAATATTCTGTATGGTAGTAATCATTTCTGTTATATTGTCTACTATGTTAAATAAAACTTGTAGATGGTGAAATGACCGTCATCTTGAAAACTCTACACCTCCTCCTGCTATAGGCAGGATGAAGTCAATTTATCCTAATGTGGCACTTTGTCAGATGTCAGATGTGATAAGGTAAAAATTGCCATGGACTTACCAGAGCTTAGGCTGCTCTTTCATTAGAGAGATGACTGGTGGTAATTCTACCTGAGAATCACTACATGTCAGGTGAGGAATGTGAAGAAAAGTCCTTCATGCTAATCTCAACTAGTACAGGAACTGAACCCACACTGTTGATCTCTTTTTGTATTACAAACCACCTGTCCAGCCAACAGAGCTAACCAACCCCCTTTGTCTGATAACCCTCCTGTGAAGTACTGTGGTGTTTTTCAATATTAAGAGAAGCTACATAAATGCAAGTTATTGTACATAATGAATATTCATACTGAAAATAAACATGGGTAGAATATTGCATTTTAGAAAATTAGTTCATTCATAAATACTACACAATTGTCAAAACTACTCCAAGCATACATCTTCCCAATACAAGTTACAATAAAAGGAATTTAGGACACCTTAATTAAGTTTTGTCAGATATACAATAACATATACAACATCAAACCAAGGAAATATGGGGCATCACTAATATAAACTTCAGTTAGGAAACCTTTTGCTTACAAGACCCTGCACAAGAATAAACAGGCCGATTAGCATCTCCATCTTTAAAATATTTTAATGCAGTGAGTTCTGACAGATTAGAATGTGTAGTCTGAACGGGCAGTGGAAGCAGATACAACAGCAATTTTTAGATGGGATTGAATAATAGTTGAAAATGAGAAAGTTGCAGGGCTTTGGTCTAACTGGACAGCTCTTTCGAAGAGTCAGCCCAGGCATGATAGACCAAATGGCCTCCTTTGGTAGATTTTGATTCTTGATGAAGTACACAACATAAGCACAAAACAGGGAAAGAGAGGTGCAATGTTCATTTTTAACACCTGTTTTAGCCAATTAAGCAACTGATGATCATCGCAAAATTCAAAAACTATTATATTGGTGTGGTGAAAACAGTAAAGAGTTAAGAAAATCTCAAATAAAGTAATTCATCTTTTGCAAACACAGACATACATTGTTTGAATATACAACAATGTACTTGTGACATGTGTAATTAAGGAAATGCATGAAAAATACAAAATACTTCTGTAACTCATTTCCTATGTTTGCTACCTAGTGTATGAATCTTTCATACTTGACTGTATGGAAATGTTTGAAAGTAAGAACAACTTATTTAACATTTTATTTGCTACTGTGAACTTTTTATTTGAATATGGGATTTATTCATAGATATTTGTGATAATATAACATGCTAAATAAACATAAATACAACATGCATATACACACACTCATCTACCTCTGCACACGTATACACAGATTGGCAAACACAGCCATAGACACAGAATCAGAATCACCCCGACAGACAGACAGTGACACTTGTACACTGTCTCCCTCCAGTACAAGAGTGGGATTTGTAAAAGCAATCCATCCCAACCCGGGACTCTGCATCTCTGCCAGTTCCGCGGTCGGTACTGAGTGGTAGCCAGGCCCCAAGCGGTGACAATGAAATGGAAATAGGGAGAGAAAGAATAGGGAGAGAAAGAACAGAGAGAGAGAGGGGCCGGCTCTCCGGCAATAGCAGTAGCAGCAGTGAAGGGCAGGCGGAGCTGACTCACCACAAAGACCGAGGTCCGGACCACCTCGGAGACACTCTGCCGGAGCTCAGCTGCGGTACCAGGTTTGCTCAGAGCCCTGGTGAACCTCCGTGTTTCCTGGGCCATGGACTCTCTCAACATAACCCCTGAGGGTCAGGCTCGGCCTCCAGACTTTCCACCTTCTCCTCGCAGCTTCCTGAACACCTCCGGCAAGGCTCACATCCTCCTCGACCCAATTCCTGCTCCTTCTCGTTAATATTCCTGCTTCTGCTCTGCAGCCCCTTCTCTTCGGCTTCCAGGAGGTGCTGTATCAGGCAGTAGGAACTGGAAATGCTTTATTCTTACAAGAAAGGACAAAAAAAAATCTCTCCCGGTATTACTTGTGTAATCTACCCTCCTGTAGCAGAGCAGAGAGCTTTTGCTGCGTAATCTCTACTGCCCTCTCTCTCCCCATCAACTGCCTACACCACAGGTAGGAAGCAAACATACAATGGGATTGTCTCTGAGCAACTCACTTCTTAAGTTATGCAGAACAAAAAGTCCATTGACAGATCTTCAAAATCAAAACCCCTAACTCTCTTTCTGGACTCGAACTTAAATCCCGCTGCAGCTGTCTGCTTTGGTTGCTTCTAGCAGATGGTTTCATTTCAATATTTACATTTCGTTGAATTCCCCATCACATCAGTGCCTGCGCCAACTCTGAAGGAGCCATATGATTAGTTCCAGACCCAAAATCTCTCTTCCTTGCCCCCTTTCCCCTTCTGCTCTCCCCCTACCACATCCCCAAACCAGGAGGCGCAGTCCAGATCTTATTTACTCGCTGAGGAAAGAAATCTCCTCAATTACCTTAAATCTGCTGGACAAACAGGAGGCTGGAAAAACACAGCCAGCGAAAGAAGTTCTCTACCTCCGGATGCTGCCTGACAAGTTCTCTACCTCCAGGTGTTGCCTGGCCTGCTGTGTTCGTCCAGCCTCCTGTTTGTCTAACTTGGATTCCAGCATCTGCAGGTTTTTTTTTGCCTCTAACCTTAGATCTGTCACCTTGGGTTATTTTTTTCCCACCTGCCAGTACAAGCCTTGTCAACGTTTATTCTATTACAGTCCTTCATGATTTAAATCCCTCTGTTAAATTTCACCTTCACCTCTCCTCCAAGAGGAACAAGACCAGTTTCTGTAGCTGCTCCACATTACTGAAGTGCCTCATCCCTGGTACCTCCTCTCCAATACCTCGGCATTCTCCCTAAAGTGTGATGCTCAGAATCAAGCTGAGGCTTATTCATAAAAGTTTGCATAACATTTTCGCTTTTACTCACTTTGTTTCTCTATTTATGAAGCCAAGGAAATCACATACTTGTAAACAACTTCATACTCATCTCATCAGTTCTGTCTGTATTGAAGGGGCTTAGATGCAGTGATTTACTTTTAAGTGCAGTGAATGTTATCAATTGTATTGCAGTTATTTTAAGCACAGCAAGATCCAATAAAAGAGCAAAGTGAGGAATGACTTGATTACTATGTTTTCTGAGAGAATATTGATCAGATGAATCCGTTGCTGTTCTTCAATGAGTAACACAGGATGTTTAACAACCATCTGAGCTGCCATGATATGCAGACAGGACATGAATTTATTGTCACATCTGGGAAACAGACGCTTTGACAATGCAGTACTCACTCACTATTGCACGAAATCATCAGTTTTGGATTATCTGCTCAAATCTGGGGTTAAAGTTCAAACAATTCACAACTCACTGACATGTTAATTTTGAAGGATTGATCCAAATTGAGATTGTGCAAATTCAGTGCTTGTCCTGGAGTAAATTAGTGTGACCAAATAGTATCCTTCATCATATGTACATGTTCTAGGTCAGTTCTTTTTTAAAATGCTTTTATTTATACAACTCATTTTGTCATCTCAGGATATTCCAAAGTATTTCATAGCTGCAACTTCTAGGAGCAGTAATTACTGTTTAATAAGCTGTTGCATTGTTTTGGAACTTTGGGAAAAAAAATCAAAACTGCATTTTAAAAAGGGAGGAAGGGAGACAAAGGCAGTGGGACATGGTGGGACAACATTTAAAAGGCATCTGGTTTGCATATGAATAGGAAGAGTTTAGAGGTATATGGGCCAAATGCTGGCAAATGGGACTTGATTTATATAGGATATCTGGTCAGCATAGATAAGTTGTACTGAAGAGTCTGTTACCATGCTGTATATATCTATGACTCTATAGCTAATTAACTTCTTTTGAAGTGCAGTCATGGTGGTAATGTCAGAAATTGGTCACCAATTTACACACAGGAGACTCCCCAAAACAGCAAGATGATAATAGCTACATATCTGTTTGAGTGATGTTGGTTGAGGGATACCAGGGAGAATGCCTCTGTTCTGCTTTGAAAAAGAGTCTCGGGATAATTTACATTAGCATAAGAAGGAAGATTCAGCTATTGGACAACACTTCACCCAAAAAAGAAATGGTACCTCCAACAGTGCAGCTATCCCCTAGCCCTGCAAATGGAAAGACTGGATTGAGGCTTGAGCTGAATACATTTAGACTCAGAGATGAGAATGTTAGAATTGAATAATTGAGTAATGGACTACAAAAATGTGTGAAGGTGAACTTTTATTGAAGTCAACTCTGTTCTACATCAAGGATCACAGCACCAGTTTTGAATGTTTCTGGTGGAATTCCAACATTCATCGTGATATACAAGCAAAAATCAAAATTAAGAGAAATTTGAAACTGCACCGTTAGTATATGAGATGAAAACTGTCTTAATCCTGAGAATGCTGACATTTGTATTGTCATTGAGGTCCCCACACTTTCAAATATACACTGTCTCTAAATCATAAATCCTTGAAGTTAAATCTAGAATGTGGAACTTACTACCATGGAGAGTGGTTAAGTAGACAGACTGGATGCACTTAAGGGGCAACTGGATAGAAACCCAAGGGAGAAATTAATAGAATGGTATGTTGATAGGGTGAAATGACACAGGATGGGAGGAGGCTCTTATGGAGCAAAAATAACAGTATCAATCTGATGGGCCAAATCGCCTGTTTTTGCACTGCAAATTCCAGGTGATACTACATCTCCATCAATCTTTTTTTAACTTTATGTTCCATGGGCTGTTTCTCTGTTGATAACATTCATCACCCACATGTCTGTATTTCCTTAGTCAGATGCATTGGTGTAGCTGAAAATAATTAGCGTAAAATGTTTAAAGACTTGCAGCTAGATAATTAGATGATATTTCTACTACCCTACTCACCCCCATCCATCCCAATGCTAGCCTGAGTCAGTGCTGAGACACACTCTCCCAGAATCAAAGACAAATCCCATCAAACTGCATAACACAGGAACATCTCCAACTCAGGGCCATTAGGAGGTAGGAGCCAGGGCCAATGGAACAGCCAAGAAAATTAAGTGAAGATTCAGGATCATCAAATCCATTGGATTTGTGGAACGGATGCTATTGGACATAATCCTGTCAAGTCTTTGGTCAGCCTTTGAACTCTGGTCAGTGCTCAGATAAAGAGAGAAATGGGGTACCCACTTATCATGTATGCACCAAGTCCACCTGGTGAATTAACCCCTGAAATGATGCCTGAGCTAAAAGGGTTAAATTATGAGGACAGGTTGCTTAAATTGGACTTGACTTCCCTTGTGTAAAGAAGATAGAGAGTTCCACTTGAGGTGTTTAAGATAACGGAGTTGACATGGCCTGTGAAAAAGAACTATTTCCTTTGAGTTCAGGAATTCTGGCAACGGGCATCATCATATGCTCACACCAACATTTAGCAAAGGTACATTTAGCAAAGATACTCTCAAGGTCCAGTGGTGGAAGTGACCAGTGATATTGGCCCCCAGGACATAGCTACTGTTGATTTGTAAATTTGTAATGGTGCCCATGTATATCTAACCTTCCTATTTTAGATCATTCTGGGTAATAACAAGGATGGTAAACACCACAATTCCTTGAATGGTCATGTAATGTTGAGGTTGTTGCTGCTGCAGTCGTACAGTGCAGGACATATGATCATTACACTGAATGGTTTTTGTTTTCTTTCTGTACAGAACTGGCTTACTTTCCTCACCTTGAAGTTAGAGGCAGGCTATTCGGGAGTGAAGACATCAGAAAGTACTTCTCCATTCAAAAACTAATGGAAATACAAAACTACCTTCCATGTACGCTGCCCCACTGGTCGAAGCTAGGATTCAACTGACAATCTCTGAGCTGAAATTGATAGATCTTTTTCAGTTGGGTTAGAGGATTAAGAGTTAGAGGATTAAGAGTTGCGGAGGTGAGGTGGTAGGTGAATATAGGAAGCAGAATATAGGAAGGGTCCAGACCTGAAACATCAGCTTTCCTGCTAATCTGATGCTGCTTGGCCTGCTGTGTTCATCCAGCTCTACACCTTGTTATCGCAGATCAGCTATGATTTAATTGATAGACAGACAGCCTTGAGGGGTTAAATGGCTCCCTCCAGTTGCTATCAGAGATAGTAGGAACTGCAGATGCTGGAGAATCCGAGACAACAAGGTGCAGGGCTGGATGAACACAGCAGGCCAAGCAGCATCATAGGAGCAGAAAGGCTGACGTTTCGGGCCTAGACCCTTCATCAGAAATGGGGGAGGGGAAGGGGGTTCTGAAATAAATAGGGAGAGAGGGGGAGGCAGATAGAAGATGGATAGAGGAGAGGATAGGTGGAGAGGAACCAAACAGGTCGAAGAGGCGGAGATGGAGCCAGTAAAGGTGAGTGTAGGTGGGGAGTTAGGGAGGGGATAGGTCAGTCCAGGGAGGACGGACAGGTCAAGGGGGCGGGATGACGTTAGTCGGTAGGAGATGGGGGTGGGGCTTGAGGTGGGAGGAGGGGTTAGGTGGGAGGAAGAACAGGTTAGGGAGGCGGGGACGAGCTGGACTGGTTTTGGGATGCGGTAGGGGGAGGGGAGATTTTGAAGCTTGTGAAATCCACATTGATACCATTGGGCTGCAGGGTTCCCAAGCGGAATATGAGTTGCTGTTCCTGCAACCTTCGGGTGGCATCGTTGTGGCACTGCAGGAGGCCCAGGATGGACATGTCGTCTGAGGAATGGGAGGGGGAGTTGAAATGGTTCGCGACTGGGAGGTGCAGTTGTTTATTGCGAACCGAGCGTAGGTGTTCTGCAAAGCGGTCCCCGAATCTCCGCTTGGTTTCCCCGATGTAGAGGAGGCCACACCGGGTACAGCGGATGCAGTATACCACATTGGCAGATGTGCAGGTGAACATCTGCTTGATGTGGAAAGTCTTCTTGGGGCCTGGGATGGGGGTGAGGGAGGAGGTATGGGGGCAGGTGTAGCACTTCCTGCAGTTGCAGGGAAAAGTGCCGGGTGTGGTGGGGCTGTATCGCCTCTTCAACCTGTTTGTTTCC